CACATTGCAGGGAGTTAGGGCAGAGTTTTCAGTACCAAACCAGAGGCCTTGGCCAGCTGCTGACCACCCCTCCCCGACGGGGCTGGGATCAGACTGGTGATGTCTGGAGTCCCTTAGGTCCTGAGGTGACATCCGGGGATGCAGAAGAAGCGGTGGGCCTGACTGGTAAGGAGTGAGGAAACTTTCCGGCTTCTGGGGGGGACTGTGAATGGCTGATCTTGGTCTGACTCTGTTCAGGGCTCACGGCCTTTCTGGCCCTGCCCTCCAGCCTGAGTGGACACACCTGCCCCTCCTGCAGCCTCTGGAGGTGGCTTTTGCCACTGTCCCAGCAAAGACCAGCCGTGAGGGGAGAGAAGGCCACCCAAGGGTGGCTCCTGTCGGCTGCTGGGGGCAGCAAGCCAGAGAAGCAGAGAGAGAGAGAGAGAGAAAGGAGGGCGGGCCTGGAAAACCTGAGAGCCTTGGGCCAAGGCGGGCTGCCCTAGCCCTCCAGCCCTTTTGGAACCCTGGCGGCATAGTACATTATGTGCTGGGCTGCTAACCACAAGTCAGCAGTTGGAAACCACCAGTTGCTGCCCCATGGGAGAAAGATGAAGCTTTCTACTCTTGGAAAGATTGACAGCGCTGCCCCACTCTGCCCGGTGGGCTGCTCTGAGTCGGACTGACTTGATGGTGGAGTCTGAGTTTTGAGTCAGGCCCAAAGGAGACCTGATGGTCGCAGTCAAGGACCATAAGTGTTGGACTGCTGACTACAGGGTCCACGGTTCAACCCACCAGACATCCACCGCAGAACGATGAGGTGGCCTGCCCTATGCGGGGTCGCTGTGAATCAGAATTGCCTCCGTGTCAGTGGGAGTCCCTTGTACCCTCAGCTAGGCTGACTCCTTCAGGCAACCTGTGGAACTTCAAGGGGCTCTCCACGCCACTCTGGGCACGGGCGGCCCACGGGTCCACCGATCGGAGGCGCTGCACGCGCTCACGCCCACCCCACCCCGCCACCGGACCGAGCCTTGTAGGGGCTGCTCTGTGGCCGCTGGGGATACCTGGCTCCAGCCTGCGCCTGGCGCTGGGATCCCTGATTCACTTCCTGAGGCGTCGCCCGTAGGAAACGCGGCTTCCTCGCCCTAACGTCTCAGACGCTGGGCGGCCACTTGGCTGCCTTTGAAAGGAACCGAGCCTTTGACTCGTCCCCCAGGCCTCGGCGGGCGCCATCCCTGCATTGCCCAGTTCCGTACACTATTTACTAGGTTGGTATGTTCTCCGGACCCTCCCCCACTTCCCCACAAGCTAAGAACACTTAGGAAGACCTCTAAAGATGCCAGAGATCCAGGAACGGCCCTGTGGACAGGAGTCCGGGTCAGGGCTGGATTCCCCACCCCAAAGGTTGCTGGCTCGCACCTACCTAAGATCACTCAGAAAATAGACACAAACTCAAACTCATTCGTATGGCGTTGACCCAGACTCCCTAATGACCCTATAGGACCAAGTGGATTTTCCGAGAATAACACCCCCCCCCCCAATTAACTTTTTACCAGAGTAGAAAGCCTCCTCTTTCTCCCCGCAGATCAGCTGGTAGGTTCGAACTGCTGACCTTGCAGTTAGCAGTCCAATGCATCACCCACTACATCACCAAAAGTCACAGTTACAGAAAACCCTGTGGGTCCACTCTGTACACCTGCTAATGCCGATGCCATGAGTCCCAATCCACTAGACCGCAATGGATCCAACCACCTGGGTGGTCGCCCTGCCTCTCCAGGCCAGAGGGACCAGGGTTTGGGGACGATCGCGCGCTTGTGAGTCAGGTTACAGGCTACCACAGGCACATTCAGAGCTCGGACTTGTAGATTCTGCCGTAGGAGGAAGGTGTGGTTCTTGGAAGGGGAGGATCTGGGGGTGGGGGGTTATGTTTGGGAATGTGCAAAGCGCCGCTTGTTGCGCTCCCGTGTTCCCGGGCTCCCACCCCACCGCGGGAGGATCCGCTGTCCCCAGAGACATGTCCCGGCTGTAGGCCCACGTGCTCTCGGCGTGTTTGTCTGTCGCAGGGCGGAAGTAGACCTGGGAGCCAGCTCATCCCTGGGTCTTTTCATGGCGTGGGGAGGGGCGTAAGAATGACCCAGCCCGGATGGTGGGTGCACTCAGTCTTGAGGGTGTCTGCCCAAGGGGGTGCTTGGGAGGGGAGCATGGGCAAGGCCAAGAAGGGTGGGCAAGGCCTCGCCGGGGCTCAGCGTGGAGCTGTGCCTCCCCAGGCTTCGCAAGGAAGTGGATCACCAGGCTTTTCTTCCTTCCACGGTGCTCAGGTTGGACGTGATCCCCTAACCTTCCAGGTAGCAGCCCAGCGCTGTGTCCTGCCTGCAGCACCCAGGCCCTCTGGGAGGTTCAGGAGGCCAGTGTAAGCCCCTCAGCCCCGGGATGATGGGGACAGGGTGGTTCCTTGTTGGGGGACATGCAGAGCTCTGGAGACAGCCTGGATTAAGGCTCGCCCACGTGGCCTCCCCACTCTGCTGCCCAGATCAGAAGCTCCCGTGGGGGTAGGCCTACGGGGCACATGACTCAGTCGGGCAGGCATCATGAAGCCTTGGCAGGGCTGCTTTCTTTCGGAGCCCTGGCGGTAAACTGTCTCTGGATGATGTATTTTTTATGTTTTGTTTTTTTTAATTGGAATGCATTCTATTAACGGTGAGAAGCATAGAACCTAATATCTCTGCCTAAGAGCATGCAGCTCCCCAAGGTTGTGCAGCAGTCGCCATTTCTTACTTTCAAAAAGCCTTCCTCCCTCCAGGGAGCCTCCCGGAGTGCCTGCAGCAGCTGCTGCCCCCCAGACCCCCACCCTGTAGCCACTGACACACTCTGGACGCTGCTTCTCTTCCTCCCAATGCAGACCAGACCCCCTGCACTCAGACTGCATTCCGAATCCGTAGAATTGCTGCCCTCCTTCGAATACTTAATTCTCTCAGCTTTATCCCCCTTTTGGCGTGTATCAGACCTGGCCTCTCCTGATGGGTGAAGGGAGGGGTGATTCGAATGGGTGGACCTTCAGACATGTGCACCCGTGTGGAGAGCACCACTCTCTTTGCCTGGGCTTCGCACCTGCATCCAGGCCTCAGGTGAGCAGGAGCATGCTGGCCAGGTGTCTGTCCCAGCCCTGGATCCCGCCAGACACATCTGGAGTAGGGAAACACGCTGCCCGTGGCTTGGGTGTGTTCTGGGATGCTGCCCCGACAGGCCTGTGCTCCCAGAGGAAAGTGGGTCCTTGGTTCCCAAGAGCTCCCCTCCAAGGCCTTGCCTGCCTTGCACGTGGCCATGGAAACGGATCTGAGAAGTGGGGGAAGGCCTGCCATTTGCCCTGCGTGGCTTTTGTTCAGGTGCCTGTGGGCCAGTGGGGAGGGCCACCGCAGCCGGGCACCCCTCTCCGGCACTCAGCATGGTCCTGAGTGTCTGCGTGTGGGAAGCTGGGATTGAGGTTGGCACCCTGAAGCTGGGGTCTGCCTGCTGGCGAGCTGCTCTCCTGCTTCATCCCTTCCCCCGGGACCAGCCTGGGCACAGACAGCCCCCTGAAGACACAGACTACAGAGTCAGGGCTAACCTGGGCAGCTTCCCCCAGAATGGATACCACCTAAGTGCCCATTGATGGGGGAATGGGAGAGAGAGTGTAGCCTGTTCACTCCACAGAGCCCTGCCCTGCAGCGAGCTCGAGGGACCGTCCACCGGAAGCACCCAGGGGTGTGGGTGCTTGAGCAAAACGCCCCCAAAGAACAGCAGCTGCGAGAGGAGCCAGGGTGGGTGGCAATTAGAGGGGACACTGAGGGATGGTGACAGGCAGGAGCAGAGAGAGGGCTCCCAAATTGCCACTGAATGAGGTGACATGAGCGTGTGCCCCCTGTGGCAGTTCAGCAGGGCGCATCTCTGTATGGCATGCATCTTCTGCGGCTGACTCTTCAAGGAAACCAGGAGCTGCTGGGTGCCCTGGGAGACCAGAATGCCGGGCTCTAGACTCTGGGCAAGCAGCTCTGGGCGGAAGCTGTGAGCCAGAAGCAGTCAGCCCAGGAGAAGAGAAAGGGCAACCAGGACAGGGTGGACTGCCCTTGACCCCACTGACAGTGGGCATTGCCAGGGGTTGTGGGGGGGCTGCACTGGGTGGGTGGGGTGGGCAGGGGGAGCAGCAGTCACCGTCCAACAACCGGGGAGTGACCCTGCCAGGGAGTGGTAGCAGCCAGGCAGAAACTGGGGGTGACCTTGCCAAGGGCCTGCCGCCCACGTCACGCTGGCCCCATTGCCACCTTTTCCTGGAGTCATGATTACACTTGGGCTGCTAACTACAAGGTCAGCAGTTCGACACCACTAGCCTCTCTGCAGGAGAAAGCCAGAGCTTTCTACTGTAAGAGCCACAGTCTTAGAACCTCACAAGGGCACTTCTACCCCGCCCCATAGGGCCCTATAGGGTCGCTAGGAGTCATCATCACCTCGGTGACAGTGAGTTTTGTTTGGTTTTGTTTAATCCTTCCTTTTGCATGTGCTGTTTGAATGGCGAACAGTTAGGGTCCCTCCCTATGAGTCTGGGTGCAAATCATTTCCTCCAGTTTGTCGGGCAGCAGTTTTTCCCAGTGGGGGGTACAGTTCCGTGACAGGAGCTGTGTGTATGGTGTGTTCAGACATTACCATGGTCCATTTCCAAAGTTTCCCACCACCTGAAACAGCTCAGTGTCCCCCAAGCAGGAGTCCCTCTCTCCCCTCCCCGACCTTCCCACACACATGCACGCGTCTGCCCTAGAGCGTTCATGTGAGGACAGTCAGAATAAGCACAGCAGAAGCAGAGTCTTGTCACCAGTGTTCACCGCAGCACTGCCCACAGGAGCCAAAGGTGGAAGTGACCCAAGCGCCCTTCTGCAGATGGTGGGCAAAGTGGCACCCAAGGACGGCTGAGTACACCTCAGCCACGAGGACAAATAAGCCTGATCTGGCTCGGACACGGGGGTGGGGTGGGGGGGTGGGGGGGCCTTGAGAGCATGGTGCTGAGTGGAGACAAGCAGTCCCAGAATGGCTTTATTTCCAACAGCGGGAACAGTGCTTCTTGTGGGGCTCTGCGGGAAGGACACAAGAGGGCGGCCACACAGGGCCAGCAGCTCAAAGCCACCCGCGGCTCGGCTCGGTGGGAGAAAGAGGAGACTTTCTGTTACCGTAAAGAGTGGCGATCTAAAAACCCGCAGGGACGGTTCTACCTTGGCCCTTAGACTCTTCAAGTTGGAATCGATTTGATGGCAGGGAGGCTAGATTTTAAAAAGAAAGAAACAAGATTCGGGGGCTGGCAGAGGACAGCCTGGCCGTTATTTATAAATGATGCCGTTATTGGCAAGCTCGTTCATTTACTTGCTGTCTGTGGCTGTGAGGGCTGGGCCTATATAAGAGACCATACACAGGGCTCTCAAAGCCTAAAATCCTTACTCTCTGGCCCTTTAAGGGTACGTTTTCAGACACACACACACACACACACACACAGTGGTTGTGAGCTGGGCTGCCAACCCCAAGGTCACCGGTTGGAAACCACCAGCTGCTCCGAGGGAGGAAGATGAAGCTGTCAGACTGTCTGGAGTTACGGTCTGGGAGAGCCCACAGGGGCAGTTCTGCCCTGCGCTGTGAGAACTCAGAATGGGTGGCTGCAGCGAGCTTGGTCCTGGGTTGGTGTGTGCACTGCTGTGCCTTAGTTCTACGGGGGAAGAGCCAAGGGTGAAATGGTTTGTCCAGGGTGAGGACCAGCTTCTCAACCTTCTGTTGGCTGTGTTCTCAGAGTGGGAAGGTCCCTCCCTGGAGGCTTGACCCCCCCCTCCCCCAAAGTACATGCTGACTTGCTGTGACCGTGGTGCTGCACAAGTTGCCCTGGTCTCCCCATTTCCCCCCAGGGGCGTCAAATGTTCAGAGCAGCCCAGGAAGGAAGTATCTGAGGCTGAGAAGAGATGCCAGAGTGGGCAGTGTGTACAGGTGCACACAGTTCCTCTGCCAGGCTAGGGCACCGGCACTGGGCTGACTTGTCATTGGATTCTGCCCTTCAGGGTTGGGCGAGGAAGGGGCTTGCTCTGGTGGCTTGGTTCTACTCCCTGAGGAGCAAGCCCAGGCTGAAGAGGGTGAGGGGACAGGTCCCAGGGTGCCACTCCACTTCCCCTGTCGCTGCTGTGGTCTTGGAGCTCAGGCCACGCCGGCTGCCATCTGGGGCTCAGATCAGAGCC